TATCTACGCGGACAGATCTGTGCAGAAAAGCATTGTGGGTGAGTGAGCGTGCATCAGGGTTCTCAAATGCATGCATCTAGACACATGTTAGAATTTAGCTCAGCTATCATCAGATTGTGGAAAAACTGCCCTTGATCCACAGGAAGAGGCTTTGAAAAATGAATGCGAAGGTAGCCGGTCATGTACATAGTGTTTGTAACTATGTACAGTTTTTTTCACAAGTCAGCACAATGCTTGACTATTTGACATATTTTAATGTTATAACCACATACTCCAATCCTGGCCCGTTGTGTACTCATGTCTCCTTTAACTTTACAAGCTAAAGAAAAACCAACATAAACCAATTCTCAGCACAAGTCCTTTGCAACGCACTATTAATGTCTAAACAGACTGTGCTGAAACCGTTTTTAATGAACTCTAAAATAGTGCAATATGCTTTACATGCAAATAATATTATGTAACATATATAACTCTTTATGTAAGCTCCAAAATACAATATCTTTTTTATATACTAGTTTGCTCTGTGCAATTTTAGTCAGGCAGCTCATGAGTCTTAAATATATCTTTCAGCCAGAGAAGAGAACTGTTCTAGAGTTAAATTCACTGACATTTAAACCATTTTAGCTTTGCTCATTGCAAAGCTACTAGAGTCTTGAAATAAAGGAGATTTAGATAAGCAATTTAATCTTGGAACAGCAGTAAACATGCTTGTGAATGTCCTAAAATAGTGTTTTAAAATGGCTCGATTTTTGGGGCATAATTAAACAAAGGTATATTAGATATTTTGGTGCTGCGGTCTGATTTAAGCTTTATATTGTGCTGCTATGAAATATACTTTTCTTTGTGGTTCTTTATAGTAATAAAAACAAAATGAAAATAAAACAGAATTGATTAATTTGGTCATAGGCTGCGTGACAGAACATCCTTTCATTAGTGGGTTTTTTTTTTCAGTCTTTCCTATTGTAGTTTAACTAATTTCAACCATCAGCAACATGGCTTGATTGTCAGAAATGTCACAGGTAAAGTGCCGTGAAACAGCTAAGTCATTTATTATGGAAAAAGTAGACTGCTATACACAGAAAAATAACTTAAACTTCCACCTTTGTACAAATCAGACAAAGGGTAAATTTGTCACCCTTTCAGACACTTTAGAACAAAATCCAAAACCTTTTCACAGAAGGGACAGAGAAACTTTATTTTGGTGCTGCACAGCTATTTGACACAGTGCTCAGAAAGAAGAAAAAAATGACTGATCTTTTGTCATTTATTCTCACTCAACTCATCCCTCTTGAATAGCATGTGGGGCAAAAGAGAAAACACTCCGATAGTTCACCTTATCCAGGGATGTCAAACTGAATCAAAACACTACAAACATTACCGTTTTAGAGTGGGGACATAAACACCCACAGCCTCTTGACAGACACTGTTCACCTGTCCTCAAAAGGATGTCTGTTTCCTCGACATTTGTCTGAGAAGCTCAGCAGAATCCCCAGAGGGCTACCTCAGGCTTTGATACTGCATCAGCTCTGTGCAGTGGTTGTCACAACTAAAATGGGGGGCAGATGGGCTGAGGGAAAACTAAAGAGTAGGAAGACAAGGCCTGAGGAGAAGTGGAGGAGGGGCGAGCTTGGGTAGCGGGAAGAAAAAGATGTGGTAACTCGCTGAACTGGTAAAGACCAAAATAAAAAGAACCAATTCAGTTAGACCTTTGCAGGATGTACACTTTTGCATCTCTCCAGGTGATTTATGTTTTTTTTTGTTTTATTGTCTTATTTTGGTCCCAAAAAATGGCTTTTCAATGGAATTTATTGTCTGACTTAACACCCCCTGCCGCTGTTTGCTTGGTCATTTTTCTGGGAGAATGAGACAGAAGGCCTCTCATCTCCTCTCACCCTCCTCTAAATGGCCATCAGTCAAAGCGAACATGCTCGCCTGATGATAAAGAGCTCCACGTGCTACTACGACTGCCTCTCTTTACTGCAATCACTCCCTCTCCACCCTCTCTTGTTATGCAGAATATGAACTCAGAGGGTGTCTGTGTGCTTTTTTAGACAGGAGGGTGGTATTTCACAGCTCACCTTTTCAAAATGTCATAAAAAAGTGGAGGTTTGTATGCTGATGTCAAAGTCTCAATTTAGTAGGGAGTTTTTCATGCATGCATTAAGGTTGCATAAAAATAAAATAATTTTCTAGGTTTTTTATATCATGAATCACATGTTGTGAAATTAGTGCTTTTGTTTTGGAAAACTATTTTTTGGAGCACAGAAATTCAGAGGCAGAATTCTTTTGCTGTATCTTTAATTTAATGCTTAGAAAATAGAAAGAATTGTTTATTCTTATTAATGCTGTAGTTGTCTCTACCACACTCGATAGCATCTGCCTTTTGTTTAAATGGCATAAAAAGAAGATTCTGTAGGGGAATGACTCTCACATCGACTTACTGCGTATTTGCTAATGCAAGATATTCAATCTGTTCTCCATATAAACCAAACTGCCTGTTGTTTATTTTTTTTTTGACCCGTTGAAAAGTTCCACCTCATTAGTGCTGCAGCTTTCCGATGCCATGCGTAAGTCAAAGGTTTCCAGGGGCCACAACATCGACACATTTGCTACTCTTATACCCTAGTTAATACGGTAAACAAATTTCATGAAATGCTCTCCTCTTGCTTCCATCATATCAAAATGATAGATATTTGAAACCTACTGTTTATCTGACATCAACTGGGCACCAATCAACCATTAAAATTTGAATTCCAGATAAGTGAAAAAGCAACACAAGATGTCCTAAGAGAAGCAATGTTCCCTGCTTTTAATAAAACTGACCTAGTGAATCGCATGCCTTTTACACCAAACACACTTTCAAAGCTATTTCAAAGATGTGACAGGACTTCATATTCCACTAAATCCTAATTTCAGAATTTTAGACCCACACAGGTTTTTGCAAAATGTAACCTGTATTTCAAAATAGGAAACAGTCTGACGGCAGACATTTTAAAAGTAGATGTTATTCATGATTAGATGGCTAAAAGAAGTCTGACGACCTAATAAAGAAAGCAGGCTCTGTGCTGGGAACTCATTTGGAGCCTCTAGAGATGAATTCACAAAGAAGAATTTTTCATAAAATGAAGAACATGATGTACAATCTTGAGCATCCTCTCCAGAAGACTGATGAACAACTACATGGTGTCGTCATTAAAGGACTTCTCCAGATCCATTGTAACAGACTGCCACAGTAGAACTTTCCTGCCTACATAACTAATGCCTACACCTAATACAACTGGTTTGAGAAAACCCTGAGTAACAGAGCATCAGTTCATCTCCCAGTTCTGGAAGGAGTTTTGTCCCTGCTCAGTCAGCCTGTTGTGTGGTTTCCATCCTCAAACAGATGAACAAACAGACTAGGTGAACCAGGAAGTAGAGTAGAGACTGCTTTTTTTCTAAGTAGCAACTAGCGACGAATCTTGGGATTTTTAATTATTTTTTCTATTACTGTTGTTGGAGACTTTGGTGACAACACATGGTGGCACAGATCTGAGTTTACGATTTTCAGCGAGCAGAGAGTTAGCGAGCCCCTCCCTCCCCCAAAGCAGTAAAGGTAGATGCAGCAGCTGGTGATTTCCTCTGAATTAAAAGCGGGATGGAGATTTACATTTAGCATAGGTTATTTCCTTGAAACTTTTTGTCCAAAGATCAATCGCTATTTTCTCTGCCCTGTATTATATGCAATGTGTCGGCTTCTCCTGTCAGACCCTTTTAAACATATCTAGAAACTATGGCTCTAAAAGGATGATTAAAGTCTGAGATAAATATTTCCAGTACAGTGAATCTGTATTTGAAGTTAAGCATATGGAGTATAATAATCAGCTAGTTTGAACAAATTAGGACTGATTCTTAAGTTTGAATCAAAAGATGTTACACAGAGTATCAACTTGATTTTCTTTTTACATATATTTAGCCAGTATGCCACATTAAATGTAGAAAAGTTTCTAATGATTTGTTATGGTCTTTTTGCAAATCACATAAATTGCTTTTTAAGAAGTTTGTGCAGACAATAAAGAGCCATGGAATAGAGAAAAATGAGCCAAAACTACACAACCTCAAACTACAGGAAACTTCAGTAGGATTCGCAAAAATAAGAATGAAAAAACTTTACTTAGATTTTCTCTTACCAGTCTTTTCAGGCTTTTATCTCTAAACCCCTGAACCAATCATATGCAGATACAAATACAACATTTATATGTTAAATAAACAGTAGAATCATCCTGATCCTGATCTTCTTTAAACATATTTTAAAAGTTTTATACATAGATTGCCGGGTAAATGTTTCCATAGAAGTAATAAAACAAACAATGTATGCTGCAGTATACATATGTTTTAGTACAACATAAACCAAGAAATGCTTCTATAAATGTGTTGTAATGATTCTGGGGTTTTATGGTTATAAGATTTTACCGTCCTTATGTCTATCCTTTTTGTATCCGCTGATTTGTTAGAAATGTCGGCAAGCTGGTGTCTCTGTGAGAGAGGTGGGATTATCACCTCAAAGGTTGCTGGCCCCTCATAGGGCAATGCAGACACACAGTGTGAACAAGCAACCCCACACACACTATTAAATAGCTTTTAAAGTGATGAATTAACCCAACAGTCATGTTTTTGGACTACGAGTGAAAGCCAGAATACTTGGTGAGAAACCACATTTTCACGGACACAACATGCAACGAAAAGGACAGCTCCTAAAACACTCACACTTGTCACACAGCCGGACAGTGTCTTTTTTTTTGCTGGTGACGCACAATAAGGGGTTTGTGGGATTACTTGAACCCCACAAAACAGCTGGTTTAGCCACATTATTGTAGAATGTATCGCCGCCACTATCAGTGCAGACCAAATGGCAACTAGGACAGCAGCAGGGAGAGCTGAGGCTTGGTCCATGATCCTGTTTTCATGCTGGTTCGTGCTGTTACTACTTTTATTTTTATTTCTCCTTCCCTCTTCTCTAGGGAACTCAGCCGACCAACCAGCCTGCTGCCCGCTGAATGCAGCGTGGGGTCCGGTTTAGGGAGGGAAGAAGAACCTCTACCTCCCGGGCCAGAGAGCCTTCCGCTCCGACTGATGCAGCAGGAATGCACAGCAGTCAAAACCCTGCTTTTAAGACTGAGACGGACATTACAGGAGGTGGGTGATAAAATCTTGAACAGTAACAAGCACGTGGACACCTATTGATATGCATTTATGTGTAGAACCTTTAATATCAGAGTAAAAACTGCTTAACAATTTAACTGATAGCTGACAGTGAGACACTGGGGTGGAAGATTTTACTTTAAATTCAGCAAATTCATTCTTTAAGAATGAAGAGTATGTTTATGGGCATACCAATCTATCTCAATATGAGTAAAGTCGAGAATTTAGATAAGACACTAATTAACTTTGTCTGAGTCATTCAGATGTGTTCCTTAGACCATATTTACCCCATTTAGACTGATACATGATTGCTTTTGTTTAAGATCAAAGCCTCTTCTGATGCTTTGTTAGGTTTGTCTGCTTGACCCATGTCAGAAATGACAGGATATTGTAAAGTGATTGCTTGATTCTTCATGTTAGGCAGTAATCGGACCTCTGTGTAGCTAATGAAACTTTAAACCCCCTAAAAATTTGATTGATTCTGGTAAATTAGTTATTCATGATGAGGAGAATTTACCTTTTGGGGAAGGTTGCTTTGAATAGCATATTTCTTTTAAGATATTAAACTAAAACAAAAAACTTTTTTTCTTATTGTCTTTTGACAAAAGAAGTTTGATAATTTGAAAGATTAAGAGTGTCAAATAAAATTCGAAATCTGTAGAAATAGTTCTAAAAGCTTTGCGTCGTTTTTTTTTAACTGTTGGAAGCTTTTCCAAGTAATGATAAGCTGTTTCATCTGGGAAATAATGGTGCTCCCTTCATAATTTCTTATTCTTTGTTAGATCAGCTTTATTAAATCTTGTAAAATTGGTTTCCTTTTCTCCTTTAAATGATCTCTCTTGTCTTGTTCTCTTTTTGATCCGCTGAGATTATACGTTTTAAGCAGGAACCGTGGATCTGTGTTTAAGTCTCTTTCATGGTATGTCATGCACAAATCCTTCTTTCGCAGAGTATTACTCAGCTTTTTTTAAGGTCTTAGTCTATGCAAAGCTCTGGCATAACCTTAGGCTATGAGACCATGAATGTATGAAATTCTGTAGAAGTACCTTCACATCTTTATAGATTTGATTAGTGTAAATGGTCACTTAAAGCATTGGCAAGCAGGAGTAGTGTAGCTTAACGAGGTATAACTATGCAGACCATAGGGTCGTATTAACTGTCCATTCATGCAGTCTCTTTAGTTTGTCATTTGTTCAACTCTAGTGTGTTAAATAAATGTAGTAGGTGCTGTGTTTGTGTATGTGTATTTGCAGCTTAATGATAACTTATTTATTCATATTTTATTAGGGATGTGAGGACTGGTTGTCATTTTATAAATGGCAATGGATGATTCTCAGTAAGTATTTAAAAAATGGATGGGAGTGTTCTAATAGGAGTCAGGGTCCTATTGTTTATACTCTACAGGTATGTGCTTCCACAACCAAACCATCCAAGCTCAATGATGTTGCAGTTTGCATAACCTTCTCCAGAGCTTCTTCAGACCCTTTCATTACTGTCACATAAGCTCACACTAAACAGCTCTCACCTGTGCAAAGAATAAGGCTTCAGAACCCTCCCTGCTTACTCATGGGTTCTCTTACAAATCCCATGCAAGCTTCATGGTGAATACATCGCTTACTGGCCTCCAGGCCACTATCATGTAGTCTTTTTCTAATGGTTTGGTCACAGACATTTACGCTAGTGGCCCTGCAGATAGGTTAAGGACCTCTGACAGCCCTGTCCAGTTCTACTAGAGTAACTGCCTGTCTACTGGAATCTCCTCCACGCTTTTCTAACCTTGATGGTGTATGGCATGATTGATGTGCCATCCTGGCAGAGGTGGACTGATTGTGTAGCCTCTGTAGGGTTCAGGCCTCATGTTTCTACAAGCGACACTGACCCTGGTCAATCTAAAACTACAAAAAAAAGTAGTCAAAACAAAATGTGGTAGGGAAAAATAGTCTCTGGCCTCCACCTTTAAAACCATTTGTTTTTTAGGTTTGTCTCATTTTTGCCCCTTTATACCATTCATGAATACCAAAAAAGCTGATGTCGATTGACAACCTCTTAACGTTTGCACGTAGAAGGGGGTCGACATATCTCTACAGCCAAATCAATAAACCGGAAGTTTAAGTTACCTGACGTTTTACTCCCCTTAAAAAGTTTCCCTTTCATATTTTTGAACAGTGTATGTATGTAGAGAACATACATACATGTCTTTTATCCTGGCTATTTTGGAGAATAAAACAAGCCGTTTGTACAGCACACGTGTTGTGTCACACACACTTCTCCATACCTGCTCTGACAGCCCATGATTTAAAGTAATAAGCTATGATCTCCTCATAGTCTCCTGAATGAAGATGTAATTATGTGACTCCCATAAATAATGCTAGCTTGCTTTTAAGTATTCTGTTCTGATCTTGGGGTCACACTCTGTTGTATTTCATCGGATTCTACTGACCCAAATGGAGATTGTACCTGGAATAAAATGTGGGGGTAATTTTGACTTTCTGAAAAATAAATAAAATAAAATTTAAAGGTAGACTTAATAAAGTCTTTTTTTCTACATATTTATCCTGATAAAGTCATCAAATACTTGGTTATAAAGAGAAATGGTGCATCTTTCCCAAACAGCATGCTATAATAAGTGAGCATGGTATCGTAAGTAAGTCTTGATGAATCCGTTTGTAAATGGGGCAGGTGAGCTATAGCAAAAAGGTGACACCTTGGTGCAACAGGGTTCCATGTAATCAAGGAGCAACTTAATCCAAAGTGAGATCCTTTAGAAGAATAGAAAAACAAACTTCAATACCTATATAATCTTCAACAGATCAAAGCGAGTAGCTAACTTTAGCCCACTGAGGCCTATGTACAGCTTTTTCCTGATCTGTTTGCTGTTCATATTTTTTATGTTTTTTCATTTTCTTTTTTTTCCTCAAAGGGCCACTAAGATAGAAGCAAGAGGAAAAAAATGAATTAATTTATATGGTGACATAAACTAAAGGAATGGTGAAGTTGCAGGGGAGAGAAGGGCTGCATGGCAACAGAACATGAATATAAAAGAGATACTTTGCCCTCTTTGGTATTTTGTTGCATTATTAACTCGCAAATTATGTTACCATCACTCTCTTTGAGTTTTAATGCCTGTGTGTTTTGGTTTGGTATTCTTAATGTATTTCTTTAGTCTATTGAGTGGTTTATTTTGGTTGTTGCTGCTTTCTTCTTTCCCTGCAAACAAAGCGTTAGTTTTCTAATCACCACAGTCATTGCGTCCTTCAACATAAATAAGCTGTGTTTGAAATGTTGGGGTTTTCAACACGGGTTATTCTTTGCTATATTTTAATTTTGCTGGTGTATTTTGTGTTATGTTTAATCCAATGGAAATTTGTCATCTTCAGGAAAATTAGCAATCGAATCTGTACTAGGAATTGTCAATACATCAAACCTATCTTTTTTTTTTTTTTTTTGTTAGTGAGCCCAACAGATTTTGCTTTCACAAGTGGAGCTATGGCCATAGTGTTCTGCTTGATTGATGCATATAAATAGCTTTGCTATAATTCATGCAGGGAGTATTACAGATTATATGGACACTGTAATGTAAGTAGAACAGGAAAGAAAAAACAGAAAAAAAGGAGAAAAGATGAAAGAAAGAGGAGATAAAAGGGAGATAACGATAAACATCTTCAGTCTGCTAAATCACCTGCAAAGAGATATAAAAAGAACAGCGCAACCAACGGATAAAGTATAAGAGATACAATAAAGTAACACCTTGAAAACATCACTGAAGTATAAGTGGTGGTATTTAATTTGACATGTATACTGTGGTAGCTGAAGATAAGAATATGGGCTTTCTGTATGGAAGTGAATCTCTAAGTACCTTGAGCCAAGGGCCTGTAGTTGTTTGTGAGAGTGCACTTGTGCATGTTAAGTTTATCCAAATGAAAAATGCTCAATAGTAGTTGTGAAGAGCCTAAGACGTGCCCCTCCAGAGCACCGAGGTGAGCATCAAACCTATCTGATGTTTGGTGCTTTATTCCATGTACAATGTCTGAAATGATAATGCTGTGACTCCGGAGTTTAAAATCAAAGCTCTATAACAGTCTTTACTTGTCTGCATCTAACTCACTTTCAATTGAAGATTGCTTATCAGGTGAGGTGAGCTAAGGGAGGCTGAAGACACCTTTAAAAACGAGTAATAGTCCAACTTAAATGTCCCGTATTTTAAAGAAAACTAAACCTCGATCAAGGACTGTTGAAAAGGAGACGTTTTTAAACAACAGGTGATGCAGCACAAAGTTCCTCTGGATCAGAGATTTCAGGTGGCCTCTATTAAACTGCTCAGCTTTTAAAAGAGTTAATCTGACAAAAGGAGGATGAATTATATAATTGCTGTCTATAAAGGGTCAGTCATTTTCTCATGAGTATTCAGCTCAGCTGTGTAAAAGGACTTTTCTTCTCATTTCTGCGCTGCTGTCATTCTAGCAGATTATTCAAACGAAGTTCAAGATCAAATGCTAAAATATTTACTGCTTTATCTAACAACATGGCATGTGTTAATACACTACTGTTCAAATTGTTTCTCCCTTGCGCACTCAGGATATGTTGCTGCTCGCCTGGCATCTGAGCTATCGTGTTGTGTTGCTTTGGTCTCGGCTGTCAGGTTTGATTTGGAACCATCATGACTCATGATGCTATAAATGCTATAATTTAACATCATTTCTGCTCATATTTATCTAGATTATTTCCAAAACCTAAACAATAGATTGCAGACATGTCCCGTCCAAAAGGTTGCTCTTCAATTCACTGATCACTGAGCATTGGACCAATGATGTGTTTCAGGGCTTGGCTTTGGAAACTAAAGTGTGGCCGACTTTTTGTTTAGTCAATGCAGGTTTGGCATAATATTTTTGGTCAGATGAATTTATATATCTTTTAGATAATGAGTTAGGGTGCGTTTTATAGATAGGTTGGCTGGTTATACATCCTTTAGACTTTCTGCCAAAAGGCTTTTGAACTGAACTGGTTACAGATGGCTTGTAATGTTGAATTTTGCAGACAAAGGGCAAAGTTTGTTGCTTTTGTTTTGCTTTGGAAGGAGTCCAATGTTCACAGCTACATTATATATTAGAGTGTTAGTATTCTAATATAATAAAAGCTGTAAAATACTCTAATATGCGTTTAGTATCACAGTAAACTCAAACTACAGCATATTTAGAGCAGGCTCCCCTATCTAGCCCTATGGGGCTTTCTGTATTAGGTGAAAGAGACAGTTATGTTTTGCAGTTGAAGCTGACACAGTTTATTAATGTTAAGTCTAACATGCTAACATGTGAGGGTAATGACTTAGCCTTTTCAGTTCTGTTTAAAGAGGCCTTAGTGCAATAATTTCTAGAAATGCACCAATAAAGTTTTTTTTCCGATCCAATCTGACAACCGGGCTGAACGTGTTGGCCCGAAATCTTATACCGATTTGTTTCAACTGTTAAATGGATGAACTGTATATCTTGCACTGTGAGTGAGGGCTTTAGCCTTGACGTAAACATTCTTAAACAAGGGTAACAAATTAAACAAATATACATGTAGTTTATATTATTAATTAACAAATAAGCAACAAAAAATAAATAAGTTCCATGTAAAGTGCACTGGATTGGATCACCAATATCCAATAAAATCACCGATATCTGATTAAATCACAGATATCTGATTAAATCACAGATGTCCCAGAAAATCACACATATCCCATAAAATCACAGCTATCCGATATAAATCACAGCTGTCCAAAAAAATCATAGATGTCCAATAAAATTATAGATATCCGATGAAATCACAGCTATCTGATGAAATCACAGCTATCTGATGAAATCACAGCTATCCGATAAAAATCACAGATATCCAATGAAATCACAGATATCCGATAAGATCACAGGTATCCGATAAAATCAATGAGATCTGATCTAATCACAGATATCCGATAAAATCACAGATATCGTTCCATCGGATCGGTGCATTGCTGATAAATTCTCTACTGTGCACTGATCTAAAAACATGTAAAAAAATAAATGGTAAACTTTAATAATACTAAACCTTAAGAATAATTTACAGAATGTTATTAATATGTTATGTATGACCCTTTTTTTGAAAATTAAAGGTTTGGATTTATAAGGAGGTGCACCCTATGCATATATAAGGAGCTATGGTAGAATATAAAAGAGTAATCACGTAGCACAGATTTATGGCACAGAAGGTAAGACCCTGTTAAGAAAACAGATGTTAACTGCAGCATTATTTAAGCTGAAAAGAAAATTATGCATTCTGCCAAGTTAAGTAAGGCATGTTTTGGAGTGTATCAGTCTGGCATTCATAACTGCGAATACTCTGTGTATATTTATAAAGTAACGGTGCACTCAAAGCAGTGTGCAGAGTGAAAGAACATCTGGTTACATTCTTCCCCTGCTCCATCCTCTGTTTCCAAACTAAAGGGTCCAAATGAGAGGTTTTAGAGCTAGCACTGTGACATGAAACATCTCCAAAAAAGTAAGTTATGCAACAAGAATAAATCACTTTTATTGATAGTACAGAACCATCAATAGAAAAATCTAACTTGACAGGGTCTAAGTTCTTGCCAAGCGCTGCCCATGTATTAGAATACATGAAGTACAGAAAAATATTTATTATGTCTAAAGGTAGATGGACGCAAGCCTGATATCACAGCACCTCTTAGTAGCTCCAGTGTTTACCTTTGGCCTACTATGCTCTGTTTGCTCTATATTATTTCTCTTTCAGCAGTTTATCCCCTTGGCTGCATGGAGAGAACATTTCTAAACTGCCTCTGTCTCACGTGTGTGTAAAAGCAGCCTCAAACAATGATCCCCATTTGTCAACTTCAGCCTTGGTCTCTAACTAAAGTGTGATGTCCCATTCGTTACAGTACATACTCACAACTCTTGTGGACATTGTTCTGGATCTAGACATCCTCTTTCTGTTGTTTGACTCTAACTCCTGCTAAAGCTTTCCACCAAGTCAACCCAAGAACTATGTTCTCTGTGATATATAAAAAAAAAGGGTATGTTGTCTTAATAAAACTCATAAGTCGATTAGGAGGAGTGAAAATGATTCTTTGTTCTCTTATTTAAAGGCTTTAACTTCCAAATTTAAGAGACCTATGAGATTAAGGTTGTGCGTCAAACTGCAAAAATTGCTTTTGTTTCTGAAGCCATTCATCATCTTTAGACATTACATTTCCATGCAGTGCAAGTTGTTATATTCATGGCTCCCAAGCAGCCAATTCTTAAATCTGAGAGGCTTTTTACTGAGCCACATCTAATTGCAGGGACAGTTGTGTGTTAAGGGCTGTGGGATAGAGGTGACCTTAAAGAGGATGTGTTTGTGTTGGAGAAGGAAGGAGGTGTGCAGTGGGTGTGGGTGTCAGTGAGTGCACGGCTGTCTCTCTATGTAGGGAAAAGCATTGATCACAAATGACACATTGATGGCTTGGCGCCATAGCACACCTATAATTCTGATAGGGAGGTGTGTGTCTTTAAAAGGTCAGCCAAACCAATAAAACATCAAGTTTTTACTCTGCAAAGATTTGGACTTCAATGTTTCCCCCAACTTATTTCAAGTAGGTCAAAGTACTACATTATCTGGCCCTGTCCACTCAAAGCTAGATTTGAGTGTCTGACAAACTTCTTCCTTGGATATAGGGACCTAGACAAAGTAGCAGCAATTTGAAACCTGCCTTAAGTGTGAGAGAGTTTGAAGCTTCCCTCAAACTGTTTTGGCTTTAAAAAGAGAACCCAAACTGCTTAAATGCCGGTTTCCACACGTGAGCCAAAGCTGGATCAGCTTCTCCCTTAACAATCCTACATTATTCCATACAGCAATGGTGGTCATGTTTTAGATGCTTTTAAATTGGGAATTCTACACCAGAGTTTGGTGATGTGGAGTCACCAAGCCATCTCCATGCTATGTATTTATTCTACCCAGCCACTGAACCAGATGATTCAAATCTGCACAATTTAATTTACTGTGCAGATTGAACTCACCTGGTTCAGTAGCTGGGCAGAACAAATACACGACTTAGCGATGACTTGTTGACCCCACATCCCCTACCTCTGTTTTACACACATTACTTAACTAACACTTTCTACAGTGTTTTTGTGGATCGTTTTATCAACCTCTCTTTTCTGTCACCTGTGTTTGTTGTTTAGGCCCAGTTCTTCTTCTTTGCCTAGGTACTTCAATCGATATTAGGTTTTGTACTATTCTCCACACCATGCTAACAGATAAATCATTTAGCTATTTCAACCAGATTTCCTCCTGCTGATACGAGGCCTCACTGAATCATGAAACCTCTCATCTTGCTGAGTTCTGATCACATCATTTGGTGAAATGATCCCATAATTTAAAACTTTGGCTGAATTGGCACCTGTAATTCCAGTCTCTAGTTCGGATTCAGCTTCCAGAACAACATAAAAACACAGTTGTCTGTCTGAGGCAATAGCCTCTGCAGGAATCCAACTTGAGACTTTTAATTATGCACAAGCGGTTGTGAAATTCAGGTCCATGCTGAGCAGGAAGAAGCTGTGAGACTGTGCATTCAGGCCGCAGTAGATAATCTTTTTTCAACTCAACTCAAATCATTTAATTTAATTATTTCTGCTTTTATGCTGTTACTAGGACCACATTCAGAGTTTTTTTCTCACCACAGAGAAAAAGTTACACCTGGCTGATTTGGGGCTTGTTTGGCCTAGATATTAATTGAAATGATTGAAATTAGATGGTTTAATTATGACCATTGAAAAATAATATGATGATGGATAAAAGTAGATTATAAAGGTTTTTATTTTCCTTTCAAGTCAAAATGACAGAAAGTGAAAAAGTCTAGCAGAACCTCTGACTTGGACCTGTCTGTGCGGTTACAGTATCTGCCTGCTTGTACTGTAGATGTTGCTTAAATGACCTCACACAGGTCACATATATTTACTGTAGCTTTTTGGTTTGGATGATGACATTTTTAAGAATTATTTTGCTTCATTAATAAATATTTAGGAAGACTTTAGATGATTTTCCACTCAAAAAAATAACTATTTTCATATAATCAGTCTTGAAACTGAGGAATACTCAACAACTCTACTCTTACCTTGAAGGCATGAAATAGACTTCTATGATCTGTTCACCAAAACATTCTCTAGCCTGAGGATCCACATTCTTTTAAATCCAGTGCTGCATATGCCACATTTAATCCTTCACAGGCGACAGTTAGTGCAGCAACTGGAGACCTATGTCACTCAGTGCAGTCATGTCTGTTTGAGTCTGCATGTGCGTTCATTGTCATCTGAATGCATGTCAGCTTGAGACTCGTGTGTCTCAGACTCTGCTTTCTGCCTAGTCGTTGCTAGTGTTGTTTTTGTGGTTGCCAAAACGTATCTCATCACGCTTGATGTTAGAAACCGCATAATATGAAAGAAACTTGGTAAAATAAAAGAGAGGAAAAAAGCCCTGTCACCCACTTTGACATCTTCTTGAATCAAAAATGACTCCAGCTGAGATCAGTAGAACATGTGTAAAATTGTTTGTCTGATAGTTTTTGTGGGGAACAAAAGTTATAGTGAAGAGATTCACATCTCAGATGCAGTGTTTCTCCAATATGGTTTAACAACCAAAACAAAGTTTAGAGATGGTGCTAAATAATGCAGAGAGCTCCCCTTTCCTCACAAAGAAAGCTACTCTAGGAAGATTTTTTTAACAAATTAAGTTGTATGCCTTCATGAAGTTTTTTGGGATTTTGTTTTGCAGAGCGCAGAGACGAGTCCAGCCAGCAGCATTCAGTCTCTACCCATCAGTCCTTGCAGTGAGAAGTCGCTTCCATTAAAGGTAAAAACGGGCGGACCGTTTTATCCCGTTTCTGCATTATGCCTGCGCATGTTTTTATTTAGTTATTTTGTCATTGTAAACAGAAGCATTATGAGAACATAATTAATAGATCCTGGTTGAAACATGCTATGCGGAAAGGCAGTGGCTCGTTCATTTATGTAGATGAGGCAGTGATTAATAATAAACTTCACACAAACAGGAGATGACACATAGATTCTGATTGAGTGGTTGCTGCATATAGCTTAGACTAATGAAGCCTTATTTATAAACTATCTCCTCCACTGGTCAGACTTACAATACAATGAGAAGCATAAAGTCTGTGCCTCATACCTCCATTGATTGACTTAATCTGTTGTTTTTGTATACAAGGGCTCCTTTGACAATACATAATTGACCCTTATGAGCTACAGTGCTCAATGACTTGGCTGCTAACCATGAGCCAGAGAAAGGGTAATATGGAAATGGCAGTTAGGTTTTATAACAATAGTTGTTTGTGAGGCTCAATGCCATATGGAGTTATAGATTTATAGGCAGCAGCATTGAAAATATGAAATTCGAACTTAGGGCTGACTCCAATTACTGCCATACACAGCTCTGGCCTGCCTGTCACATGTCTGCATTCAGAAAGGCCGGTTATTTTCAATTATGGCCTCTCTTGATGACATTACTTGTAAGAATGTATAGTTGGCCTGGTACGTTATTTCACTATCCAACTACCCTTGTTTTATAATAAGACATTATTTTATCCTTCATAATAGGTTGCATTCTAAAATCGGTGAAAGTATAGTTGTTTTGGTGATTGGCTGGCGCACCTCTTGCATGTCTGTGCTCAGCTGCAGGTCCCCCTCCTCGAAGAGAAAACAGCTGTCCATACACAGCATGAGTCTGCAATCTGCAGCTCTGGAGCCACATTTGGCTCTCTTGGCTCCTGACACTGACTGACTATTAGTCTTTGGCCTAAACAACTGAGCAGTGTTTGGAAAGGAAAGGCTTTTTTATTTATTTATTTATTTTATCACTTACTGGAGCATTTTTTTCCCCAATTATTTTTCAAAAAATGTTGACAACTGAATAAATATGAAATGCTCCATTTAGAAAAAAAGGATTGATTCTTGTTTGTGGTGGTTTGATATTTTGCTTTGTTGCAAAATATAACAATTAAATGAAAATGATGGCTTGTTACCAAAATAAGAATGCTTAAATGCTGGGCATTGATACCATTATACAATATGACTGCATCCGCTGCAACGAAAAAGTAATTAATAGAAACCCTAAAATAAAACCAATCATAAAACACAATATTAATATAAATATAACGATTAATCATATTTGATCAATTACACAGGTAGTCAGTGCAGAGAATTTTACATAGGTTTGATGTGAATCCTTTTTATGGTCTTTTTCACCATTCTTGCTGTGGAAAAAAACTGAAGTAAGCCTTTAGTATGTTTTAAGGAAGACCAGAAAGCATCAATTACAATAATCAAAATACAGTAGTTAGTGTTGTTTAAACCAAAACCTTAGCATTGGACTGGTAGAAAAAAAAAGCTTAAACTCATGCATTGTTCTTCAGATGATAAAATGCATTCTTTGAAACATGTTTCATATGGATTCTGGACGTTTTTAAAATATTTTTGAGCTGATGTGAAGGATTGTGATGCGAGTTTCTCTTGTTGGGTCTGTATTATTATCTCGGCTGAACTTGGCTGAATTGTGTTTTAAGAAAACTCTTTGATTTATACATATGAAGTCATAGATGACATATTTGAAAAGGCCATCAGGAGTAGGGGTGGGAATTGATAAGATTTTCACGATTCCAATTCCCTTATCGATTCTGTTAAGCGATTTGATTCCTTATCCATTCCGTTTAATGAAAAAGCATTACTGTACAATTTCAGGGAAATAAACTCATCTCCACCTGATTTGAATAAACGAGCGTCACCCTTATCTCGCTCCCTGAACTGCGGAGCATCTTCGTAGCATGTTTCGTTACATCCATTGCAATATCTAGAATCATGTAAGAATTCCAGCCACCAGTAGTTCTAATTAAACATGCTAGCAATGAAGGGCTGGATTAACGAGAAAGGCACGTTCCCTCAATAACCCCAAAGAGAGGTAGGAAATTGGTTTATTTCCAGAATGGCATATGATTGACTAGGAACCACATTAAGCACAGCCAGTAAAACTAGCTACTTACCACCAGAGTTTCCTTCCATGCTGGTCGTAACTTTAGCTTCTGTCCGAATGCATCAAAAACACGGCATTCGTTAAAATGTATGTGTGTGGGGGTGTTTCCGCATTTTGGATGTATTTTCTCCCGCGGATGTAACTGCCACTTTACAATGATTGCAAAGCGCCTTATTGCCATCTTTCTCTTCCTTAAAATGAAGCCAAACTTTAGATCGCTTTACCCGATGGCACGCTATTTTTTTGTTTTGCTTTTCTAGACTTATGCCTTGTCACGTCATACTTGCTTTGCTGAATGCCGATTGCGTAACTGCCGTAAAGCAGCTGCTATCAACAATGAGCTGCATATTATCAGCCATAAGAAACCTATGGAAGGTAGAGGAGGTGCAGCCTGGAGCCATTCTATGGGACGGATAACGGCTAATAACGGGCATTTAGTGGTTGCTAACATCCGATAACAGAGGCAGAAAAGAACATTGCCTCACACTCACATCTAGTGCGCGCTGCGCTCACAGATTAACAGCTATACATTGGCCGAAGTTAGAGGGTTTGCCTGATTGCTTAAAAAAATATCGGTATCTGGATATTCTTGAATCAAATAATTTGAGGTAATAAATAAGAAAATAGAAATAAATCTCATTCATGCTGTAGTTCTATGTTACCTACATTTTGTTCATATACAGTGGGGCAAAAAAGTATTTAGTCAGCCACCAATAGTGCAAGTTCTCCCACTTAAAAAGATGAGAGAGGCCGGTAATTTTCATCATAGATATACCTCAACTATGAGAGACAAAATGAGAAAAAGAAAATCCAGAAAAT